CAAACGGGAATGTGAAATTCAAGTTGTAGTCTTTCTGATTCACACATCAAGACAGGTTACAAATATTCTGTGGACCATATTCTGCCCTCATTTACATCTGTGGAGCACCACTGTTTTCAGATTCTGTCCTCACTGATAGCTGTGCAGAGAGCACAGGTATAATTGAGAGAAGAATTTGACACTGCAACTCAGTTGGAGCTTAATTAACAATCCTGTTGATAATGTGAGCGGGAATAGACTGCAGCCCACTCTCACATAGCCGTATTAACAGGAGTAAAATGTAGTTAAATCTTATTTTTGTCACTGATGTAGGTAGACATGAATACACTTAGGCATTGTATCTCTTGATTAAGACAGTTTCATTTTTAAGAAGTCACTTTTCCAAGTAAAATAGCACTTTAGTGGCTAATAGTTTTAAATAATGATGAAATTACTGTGGTCCAGAGATATCTACCTGCCACATTCCTCTCGAGAGACTTAACTGCTAATTCATTAGATCTCTGAATTAAGATACTGTTTAATAAACTACCATAATTGGGATTTCCAATAGTTTTAAAGAACTATGAGAAAATATTTAAGTTTTAATCTCATTGTTCCAAAAGCTCTGATTATGTTGGTTTATTATAAACAATGAGAAAAAATAGACAATTTTAGCTCAAAATAAAAACTACACTTCAAAACAAAAATGCCCATGATCTTCAAAAGCTTCTGCATGTTATTGATAAATGATATCAGCTATTCATCATCATAAACCAGAGCTTATGTTTTATTGCACTAAATTGCATTCTCTTTGCTAGAAAAAACTTGTGTGCAGTGGTCTGAAGTAAAAGTTTTGTTTTTTATACTGTCATCTCATATTTAATACCAGTGCAATAGCCTTCTTAAGAGACCTAATTCTGTTAAGAGAGAGTCTTAAGTGAACTCAAGATGGAGAATACGAAAGGATATACCAAGGCAATGACAGCAAAACTCATAGCACCAATGAGAAATGTTGAAATTTACCCTTGATTATTTTACCTGTTCTCTGTTACTGAGATTAATAAAGACATTACATCAATACATTCAACAAGTTGTCTAAACTAGAAAGCTCAAGAGTGCTATGCTACTGAAGGTCACTGTGGATATGCTGTTGCCAAAGTTTGTATTTAAATTTTTATTGGTCTAAATACTGTGCTATATATTTCTTAAATATTTAAAAAGATTACATCGCCTGAGCAAATATTGACGTAATAAAGAACCTCCTCACCCACCGGGAGAAGCTCAGAGTCATAATTACGTCAAAACAAGCAAACCAGAACTGGCCTTTTGTTCAACCTGTGAATGCATAGCTGTGCTTGAGATTCTATTCTATTCTATTCCGGTTCTTACACTGTGCTCATCATCGTAATGTCTGAGTGCCTCTCCACACTTCAATTTAATCTAAAATTTATTAAAGAGAAAATCTTAAGTGAATTTCTACACAAAAAAGAATATTTGTTTCTGTCTTCAAAATTAACACCTACTTTCTAATAATATCTGATGCAAGATATTATCCTCAAGTGTAACACATCTTGATTCTAAGATACACAAACCTAGAACCCTATTATCAGTAAGCATAGAAATCTCTAGGGATGCTCTTCATTTTGTAGAATAAATGAAAACTAATTTGTAATCCTAGAGAAACAGAACGTATTTCAAGCAGAGATGACTAGAAGCCATTTGATATTGACAAGTGTAGCAGGACAACATAAAATATTATTGTTGTTTTGACTGTAATCTTACATTTCCTTTAACTTCGACACATGCACTAAATTTATCTTCAAGTCAACACTGTGTTGAAAAAAAAATCTGTTTTTAAAATAATTGAACAATACAAAATGGATGAATTGTTATATATATAATCACAGATCTAGATTTCAAAATTTAAGGGTTTGCACTGAATTATAGTTCTCATATGTTACATAATGTAGATACAACCAAGGAAAATTTTTAACATGGGTTAGATGGGTAATAATGCAGTGTACTCTTTTTAGTCATAACTACTGTAACCGTAATCAGCTGTAGTAAAATCATTTTTAGCCAATACCATTTGCTTACTATTACAGAGGTAACTGCTCTTGCATGATTCATTGAACTTCAGTAAAAATCTTTGAAGGACTGAGATATTGTTAAGGCAGTTCTACACATACTTAGTAGATTCATAAGGTGTATCTACAATTAAAAATGTTATGCAGGGTGCTTTAAGCCCCAGATCATTCAGAAGAGCAACCTGTTAAAGGTGACAATCATAAGCTATTTAATATGCATCTTGACATCACAACATTTTATCTGTCCAAACAAGCAACCAAAACAATGCCGCATACAACCAAAAAATAAGGTATGGACTCCAAACACACGACATGTTCATGGTGATAACATCATCTCTCATGCAACCTAACTGATATTTGACATCACTACCTACACAACTGTTAGAAGCCTCTTTCTAAAGACTCCAGAAAACCCAAAGAGATCTTTAGACGTGGGGGGTTGTGTGTGCGTGTGTGGGAAAGTTTAGCAGTCATTTAACCAGAGCCTAACAACTGCCAACTTGCAGCATATCAGAATATAAACTATTCATCTTTCCAGTGGTTCTCTCTGGCCCCAGTCACAAGTACCTTCACAGTAGAAAGGTTTTTACACTGCATAGATTGAATTGCTAACTTAAGCACTGCACATACTTTTCCCAGCAGCTTGACATAAATGCAATGATGTAACACCATGTACCATCTCAGAAGGTCATGTTCTAGACATATCAACAAAGTAGAGGTGGAGATCCATTCTTTCACTTACCTGTCCTGATGGATACAACTCTTCTCTATTATATATTGATAAGCAAAAACAGCCCAAAGGGAATGATCAAGAATAATCCACAGGCTGCAAACTACAGCATTCAGCATTGCCTAAGTTAAGTTCATGGTACAGTCAAAGATGGCTTCACTGCCTAGACTAGAGCCTTTAAAATGATCATGCTTCGATGTGCTTCCTAGGTTGCAAGTCTGGATTTCACATAGCATTTTCATGGCACAATACACAATATTAAATGCAGAGCCCATCTCCCATTTCTATAGGTCATCTGCTCATTCAGGGCTCATAAAAGAGCACAGATTTTAATTAATGAATAGGAGCTGTAATAACACAGCCAGTGTCAATGTTAGCGGTATGTGTTTGTTTCCTTCCAGAACTAATCTAAACATGTACTGAAATGTCTCTGGGGTGCAAGATTATCTAAAACTTCTCCATGCTTCACAGAAGTTACAAATCGGCAGTAAAAGAAGGGCCCAACCAAACCTTTACTTCACTGAAAGTTATGGGCCAAAGTCATCCTTGATAGATCTCCTATAGACTACAATGGAGTCAGAGCACAGATAAAGTTGACACAATGCCGTTAATAACTAATTACAAACTGACACTACAAAATCTATGAAGAACCAGCGAAAACAAGTTGACAATATTAATTTAGATCAGTACACGTCTCTGAGCATTTAATCTCACCTATGAGAGTCCAATTTCTACTTACTTCAAGGAAACTTAAAGTCCAGTTCAGCACAAGAAAGACACAACTGATCAATATCGTACATTAATTACGCCCTTTGTTAGGGGATTTCAAAGGCAATAGCCATGGTAAAAGGGAAAAGTTGATCACAGATCCTGTGAGTTTTGGATGCAAGACCCCAAATTCTACAATCAAAATAGAGAACACGCCTAGCTACTTTTACTGCACCAGACCGAGGCGCATCCTGGTATATGAGTGCTGTAGAAACCTTGACACTTGGATGGAACTGGAACATGACAATTTTTGGTTGCAAGTCTCATAGTGTACAGTTTAAACAAAGAAAAATCAGCTAAGAAGAAGTCTAGCCATTCCAATTTCACTTGAAAAAAGGTGTACCTTGATGCATCCTGATTCAGTAGCAGTTATAGGACCAGATATGATTTTTTTTTTATTTCAATGATGGAATTTGGGGCTTGGACCACATTTTGACAAGATTCAGCTGGATCCATTCGCTGGACCCAGGTATTTGCAGTGCCTGGGTCCAAATTCTCTTGTGGACCAGCAGGAGGGACTAGACTTGCTCTTGCTTTGGACATTTAAAATTGCGTGCTCGGGGTTAACATTTGGCTGGACCCAGCAAGACCCTACGGCCAGATTTGGTTTTTTAGTCGGAGGTCCTGCTTTTTTTTTTTTTTTTTTTTTGGCGCAGTAGGAGCAGCCAGACTTGTGCATGGTACAAATTGGGAGCCTGGAACCAAAGACGGGCAGGATGCAACGAGCTCCAGCTTTTCCCTTCCTCCCTTGGCCGCTGAGGTCCAACCAGCCACCAGGGACCTGCCCAAACTTTGACAGCCACCCCCTGCTGCCCCGATCCCCTGCCCGCCAAGCCCCCGATCTCTCCCCCACCTCCAGCCGCCCCCTCCAGCCGCCCCCCAGGCGCAAGGTGAAGCAGCCGGGCGTCTGCTCCTGCACTTTGCACGGCCAGGCGCGGAGCCGCCTCCATCCCTGCGCCTTCCTCCCCAGCAGCGCCGCGGCGCATTTCCCCCCCGCTCCTCCGCACTCATCTGCAGAATCAGCACGTCCAGCGCCGCCGCGGACTTTACCTGGACTTTCTCCACTCTCCGGGCGGCGGACACCTCCCATCCTACCGCTAACTCCGGCTCGCGCTCGCTCCTTCCTCCTTCTCCCTCCCGCAAGGCCTGCCGCGCTCCAGCCCCACGGAAAGTAGGGAGCGCCAGAGGGAGAGGGAGCCAGGCGGGGGGCGGGAGGGAGGGAGGGGAGCGCTCCATCCCGGTCCCCCCGCTCCCCGCCGCCCCAGCCCGGCTCCCCCCACCCCCGCCTGGGCGATTTCCTCCCCGCTTCAGGAACTAACCAGGCTCCGCTAAGCGTTTCCGAAACAAACCCCCCGCCGCTGCCGCTGCCTCCCCTCCCCGCCCGGCCGCCCTTGCCCGCTGCCCGCCCGGCTGGGTACGGCTGCCCCCCCCCGTACCTCGTAAAGGTCCCCCGAAGCCATGCTGGGCTGCGGGACTTGGCTGCTCGGCTGCCTCCTCGCCACCTCTCCCTCTGTCTCCCCCGCTCGCCGTGGAGTAAACTGTGTTGTGCAGAATGACAGGCGCTGGGGCCGGCTGTGCGCAGAATCAGAGGCGAGGAGAGACGGCGAGAGAGGGAGGCAGCCGGCGGGCGGGCGGGCAGGCGGCGGGGCTGGCTGGCGTAACCAGCTCCGGAGCAGGGCGCTGCGCTCTGTGGCTTCTCTCGCGCTGGCTTCAGCCGCCCCCCCCCTCCAGCCTAGGGGCGGGCGAGGAGGAGGGCTGCGCCCGACACACGCCGCAGGGAAAGTCCCCGGGCCCGCCGACGTGCCGCCTCCCCGGACAGCCGGGTGCGCTTCCAACTCTTTCCACGGCCCAAAAGGAAAGAGCGAGGGGGAGCCCGGACCTGCGGTGACACCACACCGGCACAGCCAGGGCCGGGCGGCTAGGCGGGAGGTAGACCGGCCTCCCGCCCAAGGTCAAGGCCGGCTGTGGGGCTTGCAGGGTGGTAGTGGAGTGTTAGGGATCTCTGGGAGCATGGGGGAGCTGGTGCCTGCCAGCTCCCTCAGGGACAAGATGACCACCATGAGGGAACCCAAGGTGGCCAGGGCTTACGTCAAGCCCCATCCACCCAAGGACTGCTATCAAGGACATGGAGGTCTGATAACCGTCAATGGCCACCTGTAGGGAACGATGAGGAGAGAATGGCACCCTTCAAACCCCTCTCCCCTTTCCTTCTGCTCCACTGGCCACTGACTTCCTCCATGTCCCACCCCATCAACGGCCACCACCAGGAAAATGGAGGTTTTCTCTTGGCTTCATTCAACTATCCTACACTTGGGGTGGCCACCATCAATGGAGCTGCCCATGAGTGGCTTCAAGACCCTCCTCCAGTAGATACAGACAGGTAGTCAACGTCATGAAACAGTGTCTTTATGGAGAGTGAAATATGGAACAGACTCTCCGTTCCACTTTGCTCCTTCCTTGGAGCATGGAAGACTCACCAACTTGCTCTGAAAGGCATTTACCCCCTTCTTCTCAGCTCACACCCCCTTTATTTGCAACAGAGGTGAGGAGTCGTTCAGAGAAATTTCTCAGAAGAGGAAACTTGCTAGGTTCCACCTCTGCTTTGCCTCTAATCTGAAATGTTTGGGAAACCCATTAGGGTTTGGAGCCCGTGCAGAGGATGAGGAGAGTCCACTGGATGAAGGAGTCTTAGGTCCATGTGTAATGTCAGCCTGATACCATATTATTAGAACAGAAAGGTGCTAGCAGACTAGGATGGATCAGCTTTGCCCTTGGGCAAGGTTGTGCAGGAAAAAAGCAACCGGGGATTCCAGCTGAATGGATTCTGCTGGGACATACTCCAGAATGCCCAGACTAGGAGTCTTTCCCTAGATCTGTTTAGCCACCATGCCCCAGGAATGTGCTGAACACCCATGGAGCCTCTGCTTTGCATAGGATGGGATGGGAGCTGCATTTTTTGTGTGCAAAGAAACCATCTGGAAATGGGCTACATTTTGGAGAAACTGATTAAAATGTTCGAGGAGGCAAAAGACTCTTTTGCAATGGGGTGCCATTACAGTAATATAAATGATTCTCCTGAGACTTCACAACCCCAGATCTACCCAACCAGAGAGACTTATCCCCCCAGCTAAAAAGTGATCATCTTCTCAATAACAGCTTTCTTGACAATGGAGAAGAAAGCAAGTAGATTCTGGTTTGCTAGAACCATTGCATCTTGACTTCATAGAGACCCTGTTGTTAGCAGCACTGTGTTACTTGGTTTCAGATTTGATGTTTTCACCTCTCTACAAGGCACCATTGACCTGTAAATAGCATGGTCCTTGTCACAGTGCCTTGACAGATGACATGGTTGCTGTCAGGTGTGTCTGTGTTTTGGCCCTGTTTTCTATTTGCCCTCACTTGATTGGTATTTGTCATTTTGGTTGTACGATCTCATCCTTTTGAATGTTTCTATAATACACATGAATATGAAATATGTTAAGAGAGACAGATTTGACTACAAGGTGGAAGCCAGTGATAAAATATTATATAGTAATTCTACTTTGTTACTAGTAAATATGGTTATTTTTGGCATTGCATTGTCTTCAGAATTTTCATTTACAACGAAGGATTCAAATAGAATAAGTACTAAATACTGTTGTAAGTAACAGAAATTTACCAGTGCTCAGTACTTACAATTGATTTTTTTTCAGTTTTGTATTCTCTTTTACCATGACAATAGGAAATATTTATATATATCTTGACTGACTATTCAACCTACCAGTATCCTGAATTGTGAATATTACATCTGGTGATTATGAACATGCCAGCTAACCAGATTAGTATTGACATATGGGTCAATAAAAACTATATAGTTTTTTATTTTGGAGCTTAAAGCCATTTATGGTTCATGTGGTCTACTTGATGATATGATCAATTTTAAATTCCTAAGAACAAAGCTAGATTGTTTACCGAAAAGCTAATAGTTTTGTACAAGGGAATAATTGGAGTTCTGTTTTAGGCTTATCAATTTGCCGGCAATATTTGAATTTTTTGAGATCTGATATTTAAGTAGTAACATGTTGAAAGGATTAAGAAATATCATAAACTACCCATGACTGGAGCATAATTAATAATTGGCACAGTAGAAATGCCTTTATGCCCAATAAATGTATTACTTGATAATCACACCCAGTGGTTTTGCCTTGATGTTATTGTAGAACTCCTTTGTCAGAAAACAAATACATTATTTTGTGCTAAAGTAAACTGAGATTGGTAGTTTACGATAGCAACTCAGCCCTTTAGAATGCTCACTGAGCAGAATGCTCCTTAGATATAGATACATTTTAATTAATTGCCCTTAAGAATCTAGTTTGCAGGACACATGCCTGCCATTGTGCTCCTTTCCACAGCAAAAAACCCAAAATGGCAGTCAAAACAAGTGAGTCACTTCTCAAGTGAGTCCTACGACTTCCTTTTCACAATTTTTTCTAAGAATTAATTTCAAAGATGTCTTAAAAATGTCCCTTCTCTAGTTGTTGAAGAACATACATTGATACCTTATGGTACATCTCAATAATCTAAAAGATATCTCTAGTTTTCCATGTCATCTTGTTATTAAACCAATGAGAATTAGAACAACCACCCCCTAGTCACACTTGGAGAAACTTCTAGGAGGTGGTTAATATTTTAAATGTGCTTGCAAGAATATTACACCAAGCATTATGTGTTGGATACTTTAAAAAGAGGAATGCTTTAGTGAATACTTTGAAGAAGGGAAACATCTTTTTCCTGATTACTCATTCCTTGTTTTTAGAATATGTAGTCCCTTGGGTATGCAGTAAAGTGTGAGTCAATAGTAAGGAGTAGGAAGAGGACTTATATGAATATTTAATCCATGAAAAGTTGATTATGGTCTCAATGGTTTTTTTCCTCCTAAGTTTGGCAAAAAAAATAAAAACCCAAATGTAAGAGATATTTATCTGTTTAGTGAAACACACACTTATTTTTAACGCATCAGTTTGTATGAGTAATATCCATTTGAGTCTTTCTGAATAAACCAGAAAGAATGTCTGACAACAATGGAAATTTATTATTAAACTGTGTTTCAGTTTCTGCAGACAGTTTTTAAAGGGAGTATTTTTAAAAAAATCTTAACAATTGTTTTTAAATTTTAAGAATATATTTTTATTCTGAAGTCAAGTTACTGCAAAATTACAGTTGTGTTGTAAAAATCACATATTTTTGGACACTATTACAAACATTAGACTGAACATTCATTGCAAAATATGCACTTTTCATCCTCTTAATTATTTCCACTCCCTTCCATTTCCACTCTCTTCCACTATGGAAGGAAGGCAGAGAGATTCTGAGGATGATGCAAAGTGATCACACGGTGTTTCTGGTTTGATTAGATATTTTGGGTTCCAGCAGTACTTTCCATTTTAAGTACATTCAATATCTCTCAAACTGGCAGAATCTTTCAAAATGGAAGAAACTTGTTAAGTGAAACCATTGCACTATTTTTAGTTTAAAAATAAAGATAGTAGCATGTCTGTGATATTGATTTATTGATTGGTCATAGTACGCTCAATGCTGTGTAAATACCATATAGCCAACAATATAGTTCCTGCCCCAAGGACGTTACAGTCTAAGCCCCAATCTTGCAATGAACTCTGTGTGGGTGGGCCAGTCTCCTCCTATGGAACCCAGTGCAGGATCAAGGCATAAGGACCTAAACCATACATTTAATCACTATTGAGCAAAATGCTTTCTACTGTGATTAGTCCTCTAGACTTCAGTGTGTCTGCAACTGGCGGTAAATAGTAAGTTTAGCAGGATCAGGCCTTAAATTAGAGACAGGTAATACGGTCTTAATATATAGGATATATAGGGTGGATGGTGGGGCATTTGTCAGGTTATCATAAATGGCTGAATTGTGTTTTAAAGAGCAATGAGAATGAAAAGAGGGAAAGACATTAGGTGAAGAAGGAGAGGGAGGGAGGGAGTTATAATCTGGGCCAGGAAGGAAAAAAGGCATGAAGATGAGATGGGAGAAGGATATAGAAGAGGGCATTCAGGAAGGAGGGTTGGGATGAGCAGAAGTAATGGGATGGGACGAGGGGGACAAGAGACCAAAGATGTAGGCAAGGACAGAGCTGTGCTAAACCTTGAAGATGAGAAATGTGATGATGCAAAAAGGAGGAGGGAAGCCCTTGAAAGGATCTGAAGAAGGGAGTGACATGATCCAAGTGGAACATGAGAGTGTTTCAGCAGCAGCAGTTGTTTGGAAATACAATAGAGGAATGAGGTGAGGAAAAGGAGTCCATAAACGTGGAGATTTCAGGACGAAAAGTTAGAGGTGACCGAAGTATGGATAGGTGTCTTAGCAGTGGGGGTGAAGAGGAAGGAATGGGTTTTAGAGATCTTGTAAAGGAAGAATTGACAGGATATGGCAATTGTCTAGAGTAGGAGAGAGGAATGTTTATTGTGACACCACTGTTTTGCACTTGGTGATGAGCAGGACAATG